GGGGGGGGGATAATCGTACAGAAAAAATAGAAGCCTATTTCTTTTTCTTTCACTTTCTTAATCCCATATAAAACAACTTTTCTTTTTCAAAAGACCCGATTCCAGTTTGCACGGAGTGTTCCTAAAAATATATAGATAACCTGCATACAAAGACGAGAAAAAAGAGAGAGGAAGAAAACCCAGAAAGAATCGATGAGAGAGCAAGTGAGTACTCAATAAATACAATAATAATGTACATGCTTGCTTACTTTATTGAAACAAAGACTGTCAAATAAACAGGAAAAACATAAAAAGTGTACCTGGATACAGTGGCGCTACAGAAGTCTTCTACCTTCTACTTGGGCTACAAGACAAGGGAATCCTGAAGTGCAACTTGGCATGCTGGGATGGGGCACAAGGGGAAGAAACTCACACAAATGGATTCTCGTCTGTGGGGGATATCTCAACAGAGCTAAAAGGCATAAAGTGTAATCAGATTAATTGATAAAGAAAAATTGAAGCACTTAAATAATACTCATATGACACATGAGTTTGATTTGAAATCTCTTAATGGAGACAATGGCCTCTTCGGTTTATTATATTTAACATATTTAATCTAACCACAGAGTGAGACTTGTACATAATAAATAGCTTCCTGGGTTCAGAAACATTAAATACACATGTATCAGTCATCTAGAAAAAGCCTGCTGTTAAGATTCTTGGGTAGGACAGAAACAACTAAGACGATCAAATCTGGATACAGAAGTCTACAATCCATACCTTGAAACACCGAAACAGATGAAATAAAACACATGAAGTTGTCAGATAATGGTGTTACCCTATTGCTCTTTTACTATTCCGTTTCATACTCACGTCAATAGTTTTAGACGAAAGTAGCCTGTACAAAAGCTGATTACTCTAATACAGAAAGTAGTGGGTTTTTTAAAATACACATTTACAATAAACGAAATACCTGCCTTTTAGTGCTTTTTTGTGAAATTGTTCTATTGTTCGTTAAAAAGTATATGATATTCGCAAACAAGTCCTGGTACATTTTGACAACTAAACAGGGTAAATGAATTGTTATGTCTTGTGACTCTTTACGATGACTATGCTTTCATTGCAACCACTCGACTCAAGCTGCCAGCCCGCATACTCGCCAGCAAAAGCAATTTGAATAATCACATCCTTCTGCTGATGTGTATTCCATTTAACCCAAGCTCTATGCAGAAGTAGATGTATGCCTAACAAGTCTACAGGAGAGCAACAGGGAATCAAGCTATGATGTGACTGTCGTCCTCGTTATTGCTAAAGCCATTGACAACAGATTGAAGCTGCAGGGGGAAACTGACAAAAGAACTCGCGTTGCCATAATAAAACGTTCAGTAGGCTATGAAGCATGGGGCAAGCAGTTGCAACAGACACCTTAAAGAATACACAGATCAAATCGCATTTGTCTGAATCTTGGTTACAAATGCATGAATCTAAAACAAAGATGGAAACAATATTGCAGTTTTACGTTTCATATGCTAAGAACATTGCAATTAAGACTAATTACGGAAAAGCAACAAAAATAAAATAAATAAAAACAATAAAAATAACAACTACAACAAACTTGAACTGACTTTCACGGATATGTAAATAACCCCAAACGCTCTCACCTTCTCTTGAGGGTAGCCTCCTGTTGTTTGTTCTTCACCTGCAGCACCTCTTCCCTGAAAGTCTCTCTTGTGGAACGTTTCGAGAACTGTCCAGCCACCGCCTTCTCCTCTAGGTACGCCGAGGGCACCCATCCCTGTTTTGACGGGCTGCTTTTGGTGGGTCGTGTCCTCACCAGCCACGAGTCGGCGCGCTCCTGGTCAATAACCTCCACAATCTGGCCCTCAGACAAACGGACAGTGTTGTTGTCCTTGTCCACAGGGTTGAAGTCCGCCACGGCCACGAAGTCTGGAAAGATCTGCATGAGCAGAACGACAAGACGAGCTCTTTGATGTCTTCACATTTCATATTGCTTCTCTTTAACACCTGGTTCGAGTGGGATAAGATCACACTCCAAATGTATAGAGTGGCCCCTGTACAATTGTAAGAAAGGTTTGCAGAACGCTTTAAAAGCTGCACTTTAACGGTCACCTCTTTCCCCGCAACTTGAGCCCTTTAAAATTATTACCTTTGGAGTTTTTTCTACAGACATTCTATGGACGCTAGAGACACACAATTGAACAGTTGAACCTCAATATTGAACAGGACGTCCAAAGAATCGATCCAAAAACACCCCCACGGGGTTATTCAAAATTTCCAGTTGCGTGAGCTTGTATGGAAAGAAATTATGGTCAACACCTGAAGATTTAAATAGACAGTACCTCCGGGGGGTTCATGAGACTACATAATGTTTGAATACATTTATTCTTCGATGCGCAGTTAATGATGACTATTTCTAATAGATCAGTACAGATGACTTTTAATAAGTTGTAAAGTTTTGTGTTTCACTCAATTTTGGTTGAAATTTTAAAAACTTGATATTTTTCTAATATGGTGGTTGATTTGTTTTATTATGACAAGTATAATGTCCCGCAGGTTGAATTTTATGTCTTCGCAGTTTATGACTTATTCATTGCCCTTTATAGATCTTTCTATGGTAGTGAAAAGGTATTATTGCACATCTCTTGGCATCGCACAGTGTTTGGGCGACTGGATACTAAATTCTCAGCTACATATTTACTACTCTGGAAAATATTTTTTAAAGTTTTCAATGTTCACCAAAAAAATAAAGACCGGTTTTCCTTCAGTCTATACCCCCAATAGCGACACATGTCTTGTCAGTCACACTGAACATTTTTGTTTTAAATTTCATTTTCTGTTGAAAAAAACCCCCAAAACAAAATCAAACTACAAATAAACAAGTAAACAAAACAATGTCATATTATTATGAAGAGTCAAGATACTCTACTAACTTTTTATCCGAATGTGAGCTAAAGGGGACGAACAATGGTAGGGTGTCTAAACGTTCGAGTGTTAGATAGGGTTTACTAGTCACGTATTTTTAAAAATAAACTGTCAAACAATCCACTTGCACATCAAGGGTATACTTCACATAAAAATGGGCGGATAAAATAACTAGAGGGGATTGGGGACCATAACTCATGAACAGTTTCTTTAACTACTATGACAATTACTGGGGTCCTCAAAATAATGTATCGTCTTAAGAACTCTTAAAACAGCCACATTATCCTGCCAGTGACACAGGGTAAAGAAGGGGTAAAGAAGGGGTAAAGAAGGGGTAAAGAAGGGGTAAAGAAGGGGTAAAGAAGGGGTAAAGAAGAGTTGGGTTCGGAAGGTAGAAGACGGCTTCACTGGAAATAGTTACACTTGATAAAATAACAAGGTCATGCACTTCACTGAGGGCTGCTAATGTAAGAATCATAATTATGATTCAACATATGAAACTACATTTATTTCGGGGCAAAAGACACTTTGGGGTTTCATCTTACCTTTTTGAGAATAACATCGATTTTTCGACAGACAGTATGTTACTATTAGGACCCTTTGCAATCTATTCACAGACGTTTTGTAGATGCACCCGTTCCTCCCTCAAACCCAGCTAAGAGTTACTATGAAATATCGTGGGTAAAAAGATGGACACTTTACGTCTGAGAAAAAGGGATAAAAAAACGTTTTCTTCTCATTCTCAAAAATGAGTTTTGCAGTTTGCCCTACAGTTTCTCTCAGCGATCTCTAAAATTTTCGAACTTAGTCTGGGATATATACCTAGAAGCCTTATGATGAAAATATTTTTGAAGATTGTCCATTGAAAGACGGTGATATAGGAAAGAAAGAAAACAAACAAATCGATGATTTTCCCTGAAGCTATTGCTTCACCTTTAGGTGTTGACCTTTCCTGTAGGGCTGTAAAATCAAAAAGGATGGTTTATGATATGTTTTGAAATATTGATATTGAAGAAACCTTATGGAACGTATAGTTCTAAATTGTTATTTCTCTTTGCTATGGCTAAAATGTAGTTTTAGGTGTCTCCATTCCTGATGCCTCCTGTGTTTTAACACTGATTTTGTGTTCATATATATTAAAAAGAAGTATAAACTTAGTACGAAAGGGAAGTTTTCAGGTTAAGGTTAAGCTTGAGCATCAGGGTGTCACAGTAATGTGAATACTTATCAATATAATCTAAGTCTATTTTCAGCTGCCATGGTATAAGTGTGTGAAGTCTTTAGACTTAGTTCTTGATAATCTCCTCAATGACCAACACTAACGCTTATGAGATCACACTGACAAATCCACAAACGCAATCAAAGTAAAAGGTATTTTAAAGATTATATCAGAAGAAATTCATTTTAGTTTAAGTAAGGACACCACACCCGTAAACAACTTTAACAAATAGAAGTATATAGGACTAGCAATACATACTCCTCTCAAACGTAGCTCGTCTTCTGAGGTATCCATGTCGAACTCGGTGGAGCCAGACTTTGGAGAGTGGGTCAGCTTCCTTTCTTTCTTCTTCTGGCTTGTTTCTGCGGCTTGCGAAATTAAAAGGGGACGGGTGATGAAATAATTATGATTTGGATTCATCAAGCAACATGCATTTCTTTTTTGTTGTTGTTGTTGTTGTTGTTGTTGTTGTTGTTGTTGTTGTTGGTGGTGGTGGTGGTGGTGGTGTAGAATAAACCTCTTCCAAAATCTAACATGGCAGCTCATCTGGGTATGCCCTTTCCCTAGACGATGATTTTTTCGAATGTTAAGTAAAATGATTGACGCAAAACATAAACTTTCTACTCCACATCAATCTATCAAGCCAGCATTATGCTCAACATTGTTCCCTTCGAAAAATATAAATTACCAACCTCCGTTTGTTGTAGTTGATATGAATAAAAATGGTATTACTTTTCAAATGAACTCATCCAAAAACGTGTCCACTATAATATCTATCTATCTATCTATCTATCTATCTATCTATCTATCTATCTATCTATCTATCTATCTATCTATCTATCTATCTATCTATCTATCTATC